AAAAAGGGGATGGCGTATTCTCTTAGCTACTTCCTGCTGAAAAGGGACACTGTGGGTTTCAGGGTAAAGATCTTCTCTCACTACTCTACAGGGCCCCTTTGGCAGTAGGAAACACATAGACTATTATGGAGATTGATTTTGGAATTTAGATGCACTGCTTTTTTAATTATTTGCTCAGCATACAGACTGAATAGGTATACAGAAAAGATATAATCCTGATATATATATATATACACCTCTTCTCACTAATCATATAGTGTTCCCTCGTTCGTGAGGTTTCTCATGAGTATAATTAAATGTTTTCGGATTCCCATTCTCCTCAATATTATCTGTAACTTTTTAGGAGTCAAATGTCTTTGCACAGACCTTTATAATAAAGTAAACATCTTTCCGGTATTCTCAGTTTTCAGCCAAGATCCATCTGACTTTAGCAGTGATGGCCCTTTTAACAGGGTATCTGAATCCAGCTTGAATTTCTGGCAGTCCCCTGTCAATATACTATTTCAGCCATTTCTGAAGACTCTTCAGAAAGATTTTAATTGCATATGATGTTAATGATATTCTTTTATAATTTCTACACTCTGTTGAGTCTACAAACATAGCCCTTTAAGCAAATAAATTTCTTAAAATTTACAAACATCCCTTCCTTTCCCTCAACCCTACGATTATTATCTGCCCTGAATTCTCAATCCAATATTTGCATAAATCAGAACTTGTGGAAAACTCAAACTCACTCAATTGCACTCTGGGAAGCTAAATTTCCATGTAAAACTTCCCAGTGAAATTTGAGACTAAAGAACAAAAGAGATAGCACTGAAAATTTCAGAATAATTAATCATCTAACAAAACAATTAACTGAAAGTATTTTTTGCTAATTTTACTATAATAGTAAATTTTTATGCCATTGATGTCACAAAGTCCCAGGAAAGGGTATAACCACAGAATTGTGCTGTCATTATTTTAAACTCTCCAGATCCATGTAGCCATTTGGTGACAAACAATCTTCAAAAAATAGCTCCTTTTGAATACTGACTCATATCTGTACTGCTCTAAACAACAAGCTTATGCCAACTGTCTCAAAGCCTTGAGATAAGACATCATTATTTTCAAAGCAACAGGAAAATGTTCTAAGTTCAATTTTTTTCCTTCATACCTGTGACTAATGTGTCCCCATACAAGGCTTTGAACTCATTGAATCTGCTTCCATCCACGATTCTAGCAATGACCTAAGAGGAAATAAAAAAATGTCTTTGAGAAACTGCATTATCAAAGAATGTTTGTGTTAGAAGTTATTTATAAGCAAAATAAATTCACAGTGAAGTTGTCACTTTTGTGAAATTTCACTCAACACAGAAAATCTTCTCACCAGAATTTCACTTTACATGCATGTCCTGAAGCCATGCTGAGCTCTGATTTGACACTTCCCTACAAAAAGAACACCACCATGCTGTACAAAAAAGAAGAAAAGAGACTCCATGGCTGGATTCCAGGCTGAGAAATTGAAGGATGGTTTAACTGTATACTCAGAGCTTTAGGGGTTCCATCAACAAGCAAGGAAAAAGACACTGGCATCACACCAGTGTCCCATACAGGCTGTGTAGCCTTCAGTGGGCTATTAAACCTCTCTGGCTCTGTTTTTCCTTCTGGAAAGATGAGAATAAGCTGTGAAGATGTAATGAGCTAAGTAATAAAGGCATCTAAGGAAAATACTCAAGAGCAACAGTGTCTCTCTGGAGACTGAGGTCTGCCTGATACAGGCCATGGTTTTTGCAATCACTTGTTATGCATCAGAGAGTTGGACAATGACTAGGGAGGATAGAAGGAGAATTGACGCCTTTGAGCTGTGGTGCTGGAGAAGAGTATTGAATGTACCATGGACTGCCAAGAAAACAAACAGATTCATCGTAGAGAAGATTAAACCAGGCTGCTCCTTGGAGGCAAGGATTCTGGGGCTTCGTCTGACATACTTTGGACATGTTGTAAGGAGAGACAGGTCTTTAGAGAGGGACATCATGCTGGGTAGAGTAGAGGGACAGCGCAGGAGGGGAAGACCCTCTATGAGGTGGATTGATTCAGTGACTGGGATACTCGGGATGGGTGTGTTAGAGGCAATGAGATTGGCACAGGATAGAGCCTGGTTTAGGGCTGCTGTACATAGGGTCGCCATGAGTCGCAAACGACTCGACGGCACATAACAACAACAACAACAACAAGGAAAGAATGTTGAAATTGGGAACTGAGCTCCACCTCTACCACTGAGAACACAGAATCCCAGGCCAGTTAACCTTAAAATCTACATATTTCTGTTTTTTCTGGTTTTGTTGCTGTTGTTGCTTTAATACATATGAGAAGTGCTAACTAAAGCACAATGCCCAACACTCATTAAAATGTAGTCATTATTAAGCACTTGAAGGTTCAATGATTCTGAATCTGATGTACTTGAAAGAACAGTCCATATATGTATTATTAATCTCAAGAGTAGAAATGACTAGTTTATCTTTAGGGCTCAAACTTGAGCATCAAAACTATTCCAGAGTCTCAAACATGAAAAAAATATTTTACACTTTTTTAGAAACTATTTTCAATAATTGTTGTTGTTGTTGTTGTTGTTGTTGTTGTTGTTGTTGTGTGCCACTGAGTTGGAACCAACCCACAGGTTACCCTCCAGTGGGTTTTCAGAGGCAGTAAATAACATAGGAGAATGCGGACCCCTCTTCCAAGGAGCAGTTGGTGGATTTGAACCGTGTGCCTTTTGGGGTACAACACAGGTTCTTACAACTAGGCCACTAGAGTTCATTATCCTAGATAATAGAAATTATTTATCACTAAGAATATTCCGTGCTATTTCAATTAACTAAAAATGTGTATATATCTATACATGTGTGTATATATATATATACACACATATGTTATATCTACATAATAAAATAATATGCAATATTACACATATATGTAATGCATATATACACATACACACATTAAGACAAAACACTAAAATATCCCTATCTTTCCTGATATAGCAGAGATTTCTTCCTTTTTTTGCATTTTCTAAACTTTTCACAATTAATATATAATAGAGAAGAATGAAGAGAAAGTATTAAGATGATAATAAGAATTTCCCAATTTAAAAATCATTCTTCCAGCTATGGATACTAAATAAAAGACTATATACCTCATATAAATACTAAAAACTATCAATCTAGTTAATGAAGATTATGTCAATAAACTTCAACTATAATCCAAAGTCTAAATATTTGTCAATGTGATATAGATCTAAAATAGTATTTTTTTTCCTTTCAACAACTTAACTTTTAACCCATTTCTTAAAATTAAAACACTAAAATGAAAAAAGCTGAAATTGTGAAAGTGCCTTACATCATTCCTGATGTCCACAAAAAACCCAGTTGTATTCACAAACAGAACTTTATCACTATGTAATGAAAAATTCTAATAAGGATTTCTTTTTTTCTCCTTGCCTCCTGGAGAATTTACAGTGAGCCAAAGCTATCTGTACCATGGAACAGTGTCCTTCACTTACATGTCACTCTCTCCTAAGATCCCCATCTCAATCCATAGGGTGAAGCATATCTTATTACAGATTTTGGCTTTAAAAGCCGAAACATATCTAAAGAGATGGACAGCATGGTTCATAGCCCACAGTTTTATTTTCACATACCTCTCGAACATCAAAGTTCCTCTTGAGGTTAGCACCGACTATTCCATATAATTCATCAGCAGGAAATAAAGGGTCTTCAGAAGGTTCAACTGTAACCTGCAGAAATAGAGGGAAAATTCATAGGCATTTAAAGGCATTTCTCAAGATCATATATGCCAAAATGCTTTCCAAGAAAAAAACATAAGTAAAATACTCACATCTAATTTCTTCTGGTAATTTAGATTCCTCACAATCTTCCTTGTTAAGTGAAGAGCATGAATATCATCCAGAGCATAGTAGTCACTCACTCCAGACTTTCTACAGAGTAAAACACACCAAAATAATCAGGACAGGGAAAAGGAAAGAATGAAACATTTTAAAACCCAAAAGTATTCTTTCTTACAAGAATGAGACCATGTTTACTTCTAAAAGTTTTTTCAGATGTCTTCTTTGCATCTATAATGTCCCTGGCCAAAGAAAATACTTTGTTTTTTAAAACACTGAGGCACAGAGAAATATCTTGTGCTATGATCAGATGCATACAAATCCATGCTTCTGCTTTCTCAATCTTAGCAGTCTTCTACAAGGCCACACTATTCATTAAAGACCCATTCCACGCACCTCAAACAAAATTCTGTATTGATAAAGTCCAGCTACACTTTTATGATGTCACTAATAACTCGTGGTTACTGTGATGCTAAACACTGTGTCAACTGTGATAATGGTTACCCATCATGGACAGTGTTTGGTGGAGCTCCCAGATTAAAACAGGCTTGAAAGCAGGAGTGGCATCCACTTCTGAAATAGCTTGCCTCCAGAAACTCTATGAACTTGGAGAAATGATGAACATTATACAAGTGTTCAGGTCTTTAGTCCATAGGGTCGCTATGAGTCATCTTTGATGGCACTGAACAACAATAGTATGAAGTATTTTTGACTAACTGATTTCTAATGAGTGTGCTAACACGTACTAACTGCGCTCTCATTTTTAAGGAACTGCTGAGTCCCTTCTTTATGAAGCTATACCACAAAAGTAAGTCATCATAGGTAACAACACAAAGGCTGGAATACACCTGCTCCCCAGATCGTGGGTAGAAATCAATAATGTTAAAATGACTATGTGTTAAGGGCCGTGCAGATTCCTGCTGAACTTCAAGTTTGTTGTGAACAAAGCAGAGGATTGCGATTTAAGATGCAGATATATATGATTTCCTAAAGTATTAGGGAGCTCTGGTGGCTTAGTAGTAAGGAGTTGTGCTATTAACACAAAGGCTCGCAGTTCAAACCCACCAGATGCTCCATGGGCAGAAGATAATCTTTTCCCACACGATTTGCTGTTAGATGCCATCAAGTCAAGTATGACTCATAGCAACCCTATGAACAACAGATCTGAACCCTTTCCTATCCTGGGCCATCTTCACAATCTCTAACACACTCAAGCCCATTGCTTCAGTCACTGTGTCAATCCACCTGGTTAAGTGTCTTCCTCTCCTTCACCGTACCTCCACCTTTCCAAGCATGTCGTCACTTTCCAAGGAGTGACCGCTCCTACCAACATGCCCCAAATATGTACAATGAAACTTTATCATGTTTGACTCCAAGAAGCACTCTGGCTGCACCCTCTCTAAGACATATCTGTTTGTTCTTTTGGCAGTCCATCAGCTGTTCAGTACTCTTGTCAAACACCCATGTGATTTACTGCCTTTAAAAACCCACTAGAGGGTCAACTATACACTGGTTCCTATTCAACAGTACACAACAACAAAGTAGTAAAAAAAGAAAAAACTTTAAAAACCTAGAAAGTACCCTTTCTATGAAGATGGTGCAGAAAGAGAAGAAGGAAGCCTCTGCCCCTCCCAAAACTTAAGCCAAAGCAAAGGCATTAAAGGCCAAGAAGGCAGTCCTGAAGGGCATCCACAGCCTAAAAAAAAGAGAAGATCCGCATGTCACCACCTTCCAGCGGCCTAGGATGCTGAGACTCGTAAGGCAGCCCAAATACCCCCAGAAGAGTGCCCCCAGGAGAAACAGGCTTGACCACTATGCCATCATCAAGTTTCCCCTGACCACTGAGTCAGCCATGAAGAAGATAGAAGATAACAACACACTTGTGTTCATTGTGAATGTCAAGGCCAATAAGCACCAAATTAAATGAGCTGTAAAGAAGCTCTATGACATTGAAGTGGCTAAGGTCAACACTCTGATTAGGCCTGATGGAGAGAAGAAGGCCTATGTTTGACTTGCTCATGACTATGATGCTTTGGATGTTGCCAACAAAATTGGGATCATCTAAACTGAGTCCAACTGGCTAATTCTAAATACAAATTTTTCTCAAAAAAAAAAAAACCACACCACACAAAAAAACCCAACACCAAACAACCTATAAAGTAGGATGAGAAAAATAAAATTTTTGGTTCATTTTATAAGTCAGATAAAGTTGCTAAAATCTGAATTTTGATAGGGTCTAAAATTGGAACAAAGAGAGCTCTGGTGGCCTAGTGACAAGAAGCTACATTGCAATTCCAAAGGGACATGGTGCAAAGCCACCAACTGCTCCACAGGAGTAGGATGGGCAATCAATCTCCTCCTGTGTGATTAACTGCCTCTGAAAACCCACTGGAGGCTCAACTATGCATGGGTTCCAACTCTAGGATAGAGCAAGGTTCAGAGCTGCTGTGCATAGGTCACTATGAGTCATAAGCAACTTGATGGCACATAACAACCATCACAGTGACCTAGTGTTAAGAAGCTTCGTTGCAACCCCAAAAGCACCAGATGCTCCTTGGGAAAAGGATGGGCAATACCCCGTGCAATTTACTGTCTCTGAAAACCCACTGGAGGGTCAGTGTGGGTCAGTTCTAGCTCAATGATAAACAACAACCACAACCATTTAGAAGGCATTGGCAGCATAACAAGAGGAGTAAGCATAGTCTCTGCTTTCATTCAGAATGCTCATTCCTGGGGTGGGGAGGGGCTTGAAACCACGGTGGGAACCTGTGAAAATTGTCTCCAGAGATTTCCTCTACATGTTGCTGCTTTTGTAACCACCACCTCAGGAGGAAGACCAGCTTCCTCTTTATATGCCTCCAATGTAATGTCTTCAGGTGATAGACCCTTGTATTTTTACATTTTACAAATCACTTTCTCTTTCAAAGGGAGCTCTGGTGATGTAGTCCATTGTGAGTTGTGCTGCTAACCCAAAGGCCAAGGTTCGAATCCATCAGACACCCTGTGAGAGAAAGAGGAGTAAGCTTCTCCTGTGCTCTATACAGCCATGGAAACCCACGGGAAGGTCAGATGAGTCTGTTCTGGCTACACTGTCATAATTCAGTAAGCAATTACAAGTAGAAGAAATTATTTCTAAATCTTTAAAACACAAATATATATACACACACATATGTATATATGTATATAAACAGTCTACTTATTTCTAATAGCAGAAGCAGGATATCTTTGATAAAACACTGTATTTTAAATATTTACGTAATCCTTTGTGTGAAAGCAGCTCATAGGGATGACTCATTAGAAACATATAAAAAAGAACCCAAAGCAACACAACCACTAAAGTTTACGACAACGACAGAAAACAAAACAAAAAAAAACACCAAAACTATCATCACTTAATCATTTTTAATTATTTAAAATAATTTTTTTAGTAACCACAATAGAGAGTGCTCAGGCCCAGTGCTATGGTGTAGATACTGTTCAAGGTTAGTTTGTATAAGTCATACGGTAAATAAGTTAAACAACTAGAAGAGGAATTACAGACCTATTCTCCTAACCTGGTAAATTACCTACAGCTTTCATCAGCCCTAGATTACTTTTATAAAAACTGCCAAAATTTTAAAAAATAATAACGCTCCTCAAATTGTCCCTCTAAGCTGTTCTTTAACTATTTCATTCTACTCCAGTCATTCTCCTAAACATTCTTCCATTGGCCTTTGGGTGTAAAATTAGATACATGCTAGCATATTTATTTTGTAAATTTTGCTGGCTCATTCCTTCATATATCTTATCTGCTAATTAAATTATAAATCATTGTAGGCAGAAGGGATTAAGACTGAATTTTAATTTTTTTATTTTCTGATTGTTCACAGCAGTTGGTACAATCCATCCACCCCAACAACACTTGGAAAATCCATCCACCCCAACAAGTGGTCAATGAGGAAACAATGAATGTAAACCAGAGGCATATTATTATAACCAATTAAACAAAAGACAGGAATGCAGAAATGTTACAACCAATCTTCCTCTCTCACCTTGGCTTCCTGTTGACACCTGCTTTCCTAAGTCTGCTATCTGACAGAGCAAAGAGAAACACACATGCCAAGGCATGGAGTCAAGCGACTGGAAGTAACTGTCATCAAAGTGAGCTCACCTAATCCCAAGATTGTGACACCCAAACTCTGTGCTGAGGACTGTTAAATAAAGGCCTTGAACCCCTATCTTTCCCCAGAGCTCAGAACTCGATTCAACTGCTCACTCAGCATCTCCACCTTATCAGGTCCAAAATGAATATTTACACTCCTATCCTATTACCAAATCTGCCCCTAATCCAGTCTTCCCAATCTCAGAAGATGAAACTCTTTCATATCATCTCCTCTGTCACCTCACTTTGCTATACACCTTATATGAAATCCATCTACATGTGTCTCAATTCTACGTCTGAAATGAACCGCAAATCTGTTCACTCTCTACCTTCACCGTCTACCATATCCATGGGAGCCACCAGCAGCTTTCATGCATGCTGCTGGTACAATCATCCAATGGGATCCTCACCTACAGTCCAGACAATCCTCCAAGAATTCTCCATCTGGCATCCAGAGGAATTTTTCTAATGAAATATCTGGTAAAAGCTTAAAACCTTTCAAAAGTTTCATAATAATTTTCATAAAATAACCCAAAACCTTAAAAGACCAATGAGAGTAAGCAGCAATGGTTGTATTTACTCAATTTGTAATATTTGCTGAAAGTAGGTATTGTTTTAGGAAACTTGTATTTATTATCTCATTTAATCCTCACAAAATCCTAGGAAGTAAATAAATCATCTCATCCCTAAGCCCTAACCTGAAATGGTTAGATCAGCAGTGTGGGGAAGCCACGTCACACCTACCCACAAAGCCAAGTGCAATCTCTTGTATTCCACATACTACGGTATCATGCAGGTAACTTAAAATCAGCTGTAGTGGGTAATTCACACCATTCAATTCAACTGAGTTCACTGCCACAAAAATCAGCAAACATCACAAACCAGGATCTTTCTCCTCCAGAGAACCAATTATTAAACACTCATCATCATTCCACTAGCTTAGATCCATCTTAAACTTGTCCCTCATTACACATATTTATTTAATCTTTTTATTAAATATTTGTTAGTTGCCCACTGAAACTAGAATATAAACTCCTGAAGAGCAGAGACAGTGTGCCTGTGGCGCACTGCTTTATCTCCAGCATCTAGTGCCTGTCACTTAACAAGTACTTAATGAATTATCATTAAGTAAATAAGAAATCTGTCTTAGTTCTGCTGACATATAATAGGAAGCTTGGAAGCATAAACCTATAAAATTTAAAGAATTTAGCCTGAAAACAGCAAATCAAGAAGTGGGGGGAAAGCATATGACTTGGTCTGGCAAGGTTCTTTAAAAACCATCTGGTACAAGGCTTTTTTTGGTTGGAATTATAGACCAATATCTCTGATGAACACAGGTGCAAAAATCCTGAATAAAATCCTGGCCAACTGAATCCAGTGATACATCAAAAAAATAATTCACCATGACCAAGTGGGATTCATAACTAGTATGCAAAGATGGTTCAGCATAAGAAAAACAATCAGTGTAATTCATCACATTAACAAAGCAAAGAACAAGAACCACATGACCCTTTCAATTGATGCAGAAAAGGCCTTTGACAAAATCCAACATCCTTTCCTGATTAAAACACTCAACAAAATGGGAATAGAGGGGCTTTTCCTCAATATAGTAAAAAGTATATATGCAATCCCAAGAGCCAACATCGTTCACAATGGAGAGAGATTAAAGGCACTCCCTTTAAAAACAGTATCTAGGCAAGGATGCCCACTATCACCTCTCCTATTCAATATTATATTGGAAGTCTTAGCAATAGCAATGAGATAAGAGAAGGAAATAAAAGATATCCAAATTAGCAAAGAAGAGGTAAAACTATCTCTATATGCAGATGATATGACAGTATACATTGAGAACCCTAAAGACTCTTTGAGAAAACTATTGAACATAGTTGACCCATTCAGCAAAGTGGCAGGATACAAGATCAACATACAAAAATCAATTGGATTTCTCTATAGTGACAAAGAGAATACAGAACTGGAGCTAAGAAAAACAATACCCTTCACAATAGCTAATCACAAGTTTAAATACTTGGGAGTAAATTTATCTAGAAACATAAAGGACCTATTCAAAGAAAATTACAAAGCAATACTACAAGACAAGAAACAAAAAAGGATCCTGGAGAAATGGAAGAATATACCTTGCTCTTGGATAGAAAGACTCAATATTGTGAAAATGACAATTCTACCAAAGGCAATCTGCAAGTTCAATGCAATCTCAATATAAATATCAATTCCATTATTCAATGAGCTGGAAAAGGCAATTTCCAATTTTATCTGGAATGGAAAGAGACTTCAAATAAGCAAAGCACTCCTTTAAAAGAGAAACAAGGTAAAAGGCATCTCGCTCCCTGATTTCAAATCCTACTACACTGCCGTGCTGATCAAGACAGTGTGATACTGGTACAATAAGAGACACATAGATCAATAGAATGGAATTGAGAATCCAGAAATCAGCCCATCTATATGGTCAACTGATTTTTGTCAAGGAGAAAAAAATTAGTTAAGTGGGAAAATGACAGCCTCTTTAACAAATGGTGTTGGCAAAATTGGAAAACTATCTGCAGAAAACTCACACAAGATCCACACTAGGACTAAAACCAAGGACTATAAATTTCATCAGAAAAAAAGTTTGAAAGAACTCTAGAAGCCCTAATTCACAACATGAACAGTCTTCTAAGCATCCTGAAAAAACTACAACCAGGAAAGGATAAAATAGATGACTCTCCTAAAAGTCAAATCCCAATGAATATAAAAAACCTTCTCCAACAGAGTAAATAGGAAAGCCACAGACTGGGAAAAAATATTTGGCAATGACATGTCTGATAAGGGACTTACATCTAGAATTTACAGAATACCTGAGCACCACAACAAGGTAAAGGTAAACAACCCAATCGCAAAATGGGCAAAGGATTTGTACAGATACTTCATAAAAAAAAACATTCAGATGGTGAACAAACACATGAAGAAATGCTCAGAATCCCTAGCTCTAAGAGAGATGCAAATCAAAACAACTATAAGATATCATTTCACCCCAGTAACAACAGCAAAATTCAACAGAACAGCAAACAACAAATGCTGGCGAGGTTGTGGAGAAACTGGAACCTTTATTCACTGTTAGTGGGAGTGTAAAATGGGTAACCACTGTAGAAGGCAGTATGGCGCTTTCTCACAAAGCTGGACATTTGACCCAGCAACTCCACTACTGGGAATATATCCTAAAGAAATCAGAAATGCCACCTAAACAAATATACACACACCTATGTTTATTGCTGCGTTGTTCACAATATCAAAGAGATGAAAACAATTCAAGTGCACATCAACAAATAAATGGATAGAGAAGCTGAAGTATATTCACACAATGGAATACTATGCAGCACTGAAAAACAAGGAGCTCATAACATATTCTACATAATGGGTAAACAAGGAGGACATTATGCAGAGTGAAATATCTCAGTCACAAAGGACAAATACTGCATAATATCACTGTTATAAAACAGGACTGACATAGAGGTGGGGGTGGGGAGAGAAACTAAGAAAAGAGAGGATAAATAATGTACATTGAAACAGAAGAGGGAAAGAATTGTTTAAAAGGAATATATGTCCAAAATAAGAGCTGCATAGTAAGCATAGTAAGGTGAACTGGAGGTGGGGGCAGGGAATTGTACAATAATGAAAGAAATTTTTTTTCAAGGAGAAAAGCGAACTGGGGGTGGGGTGGGCAGGGAGGAAAATGTGCTGTATAAACTTTCAATAAAATCTTAACTTAAAAACAAAATAATCTTTAAAAAAAGAAAATACATTCTTTTAAGTATATAATATCTCCCACCAATCCTGGAAAGAAACAGCTGCTTCTGTTTCACCTGCAATGTAGATCAGCACCTCCAAGATCCTCAGCTGATACTTCTTCTCCAGTTGCTGCTTTAACCTAAAAAATGGATAAAAATCAGCGGTCCCATCAGCCCATCAAAGAGAATTAAAGGCTTATCTAACATACACACTTGCTGATACACCTTTCTTCCATAGAGTAAACAATAACTCCTTTTTTATTCCAGCCATTCATCATACATTATTGTTGTCTGGTGACACTGAGTCAAATAAAAATCATAGCAAGCCTATGAACAAAAGATCTGAACCTTGCCCTATCCTGTGCCATTCTCAACACTGCTAACACACTTCAGCCCACTGCTGCAGTCACTTAGTCAATCAAGCATCATCTTCTTGGCTGACCCTCCACCTTTCCAAACATAGTATCTTTCTCCAAGGATTAGCTCTTCCTAGCAACATGCCCAAAATAAATGAGATGAAGCTGTGTCATCCTTGCCTCCAAATACCACTCTGGCTGCACTTTCTCCAAGACATATGTTTGTTCTTTTGGCAGTCCATGGGATAGTCCGTACTCTTCTCCAACATAATCTCCAGTATACAGATGAGCTATCACTTTACTTGAATCCACTATCAACATTCCTGTCAAGCATTCATCATGTCAACATTCAAGTAGTCAAGAATTCAAAAGACCTGTTGCATTGGGGAAATACACTGTCAAAGACTTCTTTGCTCAAGAACTATAACCAATTCATCAGAACTCACATTTGAATAAATGTGTATTGAATGAATGCTTCCTTTCTATAGCTCCTTATCTAAACTAAAAGTTTCTGGTTACCACCAAACAGTATGTACTATCTTTAAGGTAGGAAGAAAAATGTTCTAGAATACCTAACATAAACGTTAGCAGAATATAAGCAAAAAGAATGTTCATAGCAGCGTTATTCACTACCGCAAGAACATGGAAACAGCCCAAATGTCCAACGACAACCAAATGAATTGAGAAATTGTGGTACATTCACACAGTGGAATAATGTGCAGCACTCAGGAGCAATGATTTCAAAAAATACTACATAATTTGGGAAAGACTGGAAAGCAGTATGCCGAGTAAACTAGTCTCCTAAGGACAAAAACGGCATAAGATCATTAGTGTGAAAATAGGAGAACTAGTAAAACATGTATGGGAACTCAAAGAAGGGGAGGGCAGAAGATGGGTAGGGGCGAAACCACAGGCCTGCACGGTTTGGTGAGTAGAGGGAGGGTGAGAAGGAATTGGGAAGGATCCAGGTGAAAAGACAGGGTAATGATGGGCAAGGTCCAATGGTGATTAATTTTATAAAACATAATGAGAATGATTTCACGAAACATAATGTGAATGAAGTGTGAAACACAATGTTTACAACTTTGTAAACAAACCACCACCAACAACAAAAATCCTCAAGTTATAAGACTGAGTTACCTATAGCCTGAGAAAATCAAACAAGAAGAAAGAAAACAGTGCTATGTGCCAAATTCATAGCTTAAGAATTAACTTATTGATTCTTAATTCTTTGGTTTGTTTTCTTTTCTTCATACAGGATATTATTTTTATTAGTATAATAGACATTAACCTAAAAATAAAGCGTAGAAAGAATTTCTCATGCCACATCAAAAACTTTGCTATAAATAGTATTCCACAAAGAAGGATAATTAAAATGTTCCCTTCAATTATTCTACCTTCAGAACTAAATTCTTGGTTCTCTTTTCCCAAAAAATTTAGTGTTAAATACAATTCAGTCCAAACAATAGCTAATTATACATGTCAAGATATATAAAGTTGTTAAAAAGGAATAAACAACAAAAACACGGCAAGGGTCTGACTAACAGAAATGGGAGGAGAGGAAGACAAGGATTTGTCATTAATTTGTTCAATAAATACTCCCTACGTTTATTATATGGGGATAAGAACAAAGATGAGAAATGTCAAAGAGGAAAATAAAACTGCTCACTCTATACTCAATCCTTTGTATAAAGGATACAAAACACAAAAGAACAAAAAGCTTCTTCAAAATGTATTAGTATTTATATAAAAAAAAAAACAACCCAAAACACCCACTTAAACCTCCTGTACACTACAGCAATTGAACATCACACTATTTATAGATCCTACAAAGTCTTTCCTCAATGTTCACTAAAACAAGCATCAGAATTTAGAATTCTCAAACAGATGAACAGCTGCTGCTTCTCTCTCCAACGTCCTATTTTGACTCTTGTGAACCTTTTTTGTTTTTTTAAACACTCTAAGGCTGTAAATTTAACAGGAGATGATACATCTTTCTCCCCTGGAATTGCTAGTGGATTCAAATTGCTGAATGCCAGACTTCTGGGTAGCAGCAAAACAGGCACATCTTGGAGGCTGTGAAATGGAAATTCACTGTGGTTTTGATTTGCATTTCCCTAGTGGTTAATAAAGGAACTCCACTGCAAATCCAAAGGCAAACAAATGGTTCAAATGCACCAGCTGCTCTACAGAAAAAGGATAAGCAATCTCCTCCTGTGCGATTAACTGCCTCTGAAAACCTACTGGAGTGTCAGCTATGAGTCAATTCTGACTCAGTGGTATACAACAAATGGTTAATAAGGAAACTCTGAAAAGTAAAAGAGTCAATTATGAGTCAATTCTGCCTTAATCACAATGAACAACTGGTGGCATAGTCCATAGAAAGTTGCACTACAAGCCCAAAGGTGGTGCCTCTCTGGTGGCTGGAGGGAAATCTTTTCTCAAATGATTACAATCTCCAAAAACCCACTAGAGGGTCAGCTATGGGTTGGTTCTGATTGACAGCAGTGAGTAAATGAAGAAACTATGGTTGTTGTTGTTGTTGTTGTTGTT